AAAACTTGTTTCCTTTGGGAACAGTCGCAAACACATGCTTCTTCCTTCTCAACTGCCACTCAATCACATTACAACATAGCAACCAAATAGAAGCTCTGTTCTGTTTGGGAGAAGGGTTGTTGATCACTATACAGTGGGGCTGCAATCTCTCCAGTTGCTGCCAAATACCATCTTGACCCTTCATAGTGGAAAAGTTGTATCCTGCCTTGAAATCCATAGGAGATGCAACTTTAACACCATTCTTTGAAAGGAACCAAGATAATCCACTGTTCCCATGAAGTAACTCAACAACATCAGGATGATCATCATTACAGAAGAAAAAGGACTGTTCTCCGAATTCGGCATCAACATACAGTTCGTGATCTTCACGCAAGTTCTCCGGATTCTCATCGTCTAATGCCGGAATGGAAACATCATGCCACTCATCGTGATCACGTCTGACCTTTGACTGATTCACACGTATCACTGCCTTACCAGTATTGGCTTGGACCATAGCTCCTTCTTGTCCAAGTACTGCGGCACGAACCCAACGTCCTTTATCCTTGAACTTTGATGAATCCTGAGTCCAAACAAAAACCTTCTCTCCTTGGAAATAAGGACCGTCACTTGGCATAGTCCTTCTCGCAAGATCTGCTCGAAGGTCCTGAGCTTGTCGTGCTTCTTGATGAGCTCTCAAAGCCACACGTTGTAGTTCCAAATTTGTACGATCTTGTGCTGCTGCACTAGCTTGCTCAGGGCTTGCGGTCTCAAGGTCAAAAAGATCTGGTGGACGTCTTCCAGTTGCTATCTCTATTGGTGAATATCCACTGATAGTCAACTGACAATTTCTTGCCCAAACTACCTTCTTGACCACTTCTCTGACCGTAACACCACGAAAACGTGGGTCATCCAGATCTACCTTCATAACATGCCACATACGTTTGAACAAACGTACAGCTGTCTCTGCTCGGTTCGGCCAAGGAGTTCTTGGCCCACAAGGACATTGTTGTATACCATGGAACCTGTAGTATTCAACAAAAGCATCGGTGAAAAAGGCTTCGTCTCCTACGATGGCCTTTGGAACACAGTTGTTCTCATCAGACCACTGCCTCAATGCTTGGATGGTGGTTTGATCTATGAGGTCTTTCTGTGCCGTAGCCCAGAGAAGATTTGTGGCACCATCAAGAACAAGTAGAATGATATACTTGTTCTTGTGAAGTTCAACCTCACAATGATCAGCAAAAACAACATCACCAAAACATGAAGCTCTAATACCGGAGACTCTGGCTCGTGGCGGAGGTGCCACTGAAGTGTTACAAACACGGCAGTTCCTGACAACTGATTCATACTTCTCTAAAACAGAGTCAGGAAGCTTCAACATAGAAACACGTCTACGAAACTGAGTAGGACTCATATGGTAGTGCTTCACATGAAGCTTATAAAGCTCTACCTTGTCCTCCAGTCTCTGTAACATCTTCCTATATGCCGGTGTCATTGCAACAACTTCACTACCAGGTAATGGGATTGAAATCCGCCTAGGCTCAAGAGCGCCATCACCTGGTTCAAGTGGTTCATGTTTATCACTTGATGGTCCTTTTGATGCTTTAGGAATTTCTACAAGTTCACCTTCTGGCCTCTCAGGTGGTTCTGAGGGAGCATACTCCTCAAAATCATCACCCTTTAAATCATTCTGAGGCTCAGATGGTTTTGACTTGTGTCCTTTCCAAAATGGATCAAAACCCTTGGAAGTATACCGAAACTTTGGCGGCACGGGCTTTTCCGCGGCACTGGATGGTGCACCTTCCTTCTCTGACGAGAAGCCTGGTTCCCTGTCCTTTGCAATGGGAACCTTCTCTGAGGAGGAGCGCACCACTGCATCGGGATCACCAATGCCACGGTGCTCAATGCCAGCCTTCCTGATCTTTAGATCTGGAATTTTGGCATCTGGCTTAAATTTAAAAATTGTTCTACCACGCCATTCATAGCCAAGTTGTAGGTCCTTCCATTTTGCCTTGCGCCAATCATCTGTCTTCTTGATTTCTTCTCCTCCTGTTTTCTTCTTGATGATTGTCAGTCGCAAGTCTTCCAGCAAGTCAGTGTCTACAGGACAGGACTTAGTTGCTGGGAAAAGAATTTTCCTGTAATCCTTGTGGTGACGTATCAGTTCTCTCTTGTGAACATCTACTTCCCAGAAATCAACCACAGGATATGCATGCTCAGCTTCACCTTCATCACTATTGTGTTCAACAGAAATATGGCCATATTCATAGTGAGTGAGGTGAGAGTAAAAACTCTTCTCACGCTGAGTCTGCCAACGCACGTCAGACAGATACCATGCAATATCTTGGAAGTCCAACACAAGATGAGTACTAGCTGCAACCTTCAACTCCAAAATTTTGATACCAAGAGGCACCGATGTCAGATAAGCATGTCGAGGTGTCAGCCTGAGTTCAAAGCCTAAGTTCCTCATCTGTGGCAAGCTCATAAGCAAAGGGACTTCTCCTTCTTCCACTATGTCGAACTCTGTATGGTGGATCGTCCATGCACGATCATACATGTAAATCACCAGTTTCTGAGAGCAAGTAGCCTTCTGGGAATTGGCAAAGTAAAACTTGCTCTTGGTAGCCTCAAGGGAGTACCATAATCCACAATCTGGGTGATTGTCGACATAGTTGCAAAAATGGTCGACTGCTCGCCTTGATCCCATAGCTCTAGTGCATCCAATGTCCAGGATTGCAATAGTTGGCGGGAAGCGATTTTCAGTCAAAAATGAAATGGCCTGCATCTCCTTCACTTCTTCCTTAGCGCTCATAAGCGCAAAGCCATCAGCGCTCATAAGCGCAAAGCCATCAGGAGCCTTTGTGAGCATCTCCTTTGACAAAGAGTACCTCACAGGGGCACTCATGTCATCGAAGATCGTCTCACCATTGTTGACCATGCAGTCAGCTTCATCTTGGCATGAGGTCATCATGCCTGACAGCAAGTCCACCTCACTGTCATGGACTTCAGCTGCTGCTGTCACACAATGTGCAAAGAAAACTTGTTGACCTCCTGATGCTTGTGAAGATCTTGAAGGTGCAGGTAAAGAACGTGGCTGTTGTGGATTTGCATAGTTTGCATCTTGTTTGCCATCTCCTTTATCTTTTCCTTTTCCTTTCTTGCCTTTTCTCTTGCCTTTTCCTTTTCCTTTGTGGGAAAACCATGCTTCTTCAAGCTGTTGCCAAAAGTCATTGGCATCATCATATTCTCCTTGAAGATAGTCATTCATATCTTCGGCAAGAATGGCATCATATGCTACTTGGTTTGACTCCCAAGTGTCCTCATAAGGATTCTCTTCAAAGTACTCTTCTGGATATGTTGTCTGTTGCTCATCAGCAAAATGGCCTTTACCTCGTCTCTTTCCTTTTCCTTTTCCACGAGGTCTGAAGAATCTGCGGCCTGATCTTCCTTTTCCTTTTCTTCTTCCTTTTCCCTTGCCTTTTCTGGCTCTTCTTCCTTGGAATCTCCTTTGGAACCACGAGAAGTTTTGATCATCATATACCCAAAAGACATCGTCCAGGGCATCTAAAAATCCTTCTGTTCCATCTTCTTCATCTTCGGCCCAATAGCCAAATGTACCATCGAGTTCTCCTTCGTCTAGTACGAGAAATGATCTTCTACCTCCAGCACCTGTCGGCTGCATCAAAGGATTGTCTACTGAAGTCTTTGTCGTGCAGAACATCTCGATGAACACTGTCCTCAACTCTGTTGTAGTGTATTGCTGCAGGACCCTGCCACGATGAGTCATCAAAGAAGTCAAAGTGTTTCGCTGGTCCTGAGACAAATCTGCAAGTGACAGCATGAGTAAGGCAATGAGATTTTCTCCTAGAGGAAATTCATTCTGATGAAGAATTCTCATATTGCCATTGACATTCTGCATGATTTCCTGAATCCTTTCTGCCGTTGGTGCTACTCCAGTCAACGCTGCATCTGCCTGCATCTGAGCTAGGACTTGTGGATGTGCTTGAGTGACTGGTTCTAACATGTCCATCCAACTGCTCATAAGCCTTTGGAGTAAAATCTGGAATCTTGTCATCCATTTCATCATGTCAGCTGATCCTCGATTGAATCGCACGAATTGCATAAACCTGTATAGGAATACATTGGTTGATCCTTTCACGAAATATGGTCGTAGTACTCGTTTGAAGTAATCTACTCCTGCTCCTGGTGGCTCATTAGCCTTCAATGAATCTCTGTCTAATACACGTTTGTATACTGCTGCTTCTCCTTCTAATCTGTTTCTCAAAGCTGGTCCTCTTTTCTCATCTTCCAGCTCGGTGATGTCACACCAATCGTCTATGGCATCCTCATAGGAAAACCATGAAGTCTTTCCATCATAAGATGGGGGCACCTTTGTAGTGACCTGTGTTGTCATTGCTATTGCTGCTGGTTCTCTTCTCACATGCCTATTCACGTAGGCTGCTGGCTCATAAGCCACATCCGCATCAGGCTCTTCCCAGTCGTCAATCCAATCCATGGCCGTTTGCCCACAAGCAATTCTATGCCTAGGAAAGGAGCTCACCTGGGTCTTCCAGGATCACTGCTCCGCTACCACTGAAAGAGTGACTAGGGCGTACACGGTAGAGGTGCAGACCGCTAGTGTCTTTTGCTCACGCAGAGTCTTATCCTTAGGTCCATTGACCCTCTCTTGAGCCTTGAAGCAGTCAAGCATGGACACACTATATCAGCTGTTGGAGTGGAACCCTGTACAGGTAGGCTCTACTTTTCCGGGGGGGGGGGGGGGGGGGGGGGGGGGGTCTTCGACCTGAAAAATCAGGGGTTAGGATTTGCACCCGGTCGAAAGAAACCTTGCTATCGCAAGAGTAACTCCAGCTAGCTTCGCTAGCTTTCGTGAATACACATTGAATATGATAAAGATGATTGCATAATCGATTATATATAGTATAGAATTTGATAGGCCAAAAACGACCACGACGATGACGACAACAACAAATGTCCGTGCGTTCTCAGCTGCTCCGCGCCTCGCAGGGCCATCGGGATCATAGTCTGGAAGCCATTCAGGGCTTCGCGCCCTGGCCATGCAGCCGCTGCTTCGGCGCCAAAACGACCCGTGCCCCGACGGGTAACGGCGGTACTGTATAGGACGTTGATGGACGTTGCACCACCGCGATGTTTGGCAGGTGAATCCTTCACTCCGGTGGTGACTCTCACCGTTCGTCGGACCGACTTCACGTCTTGGGAGAACCGAGGTGGTGCCGCACCTGTTCTTGCTTCCCTGGCTTTGACCTGGAAACGAAGTGGCGCCCGGCCAATCGGTGGGGCCAAGCCAGCTTTCAAGAGCTTAGGAGTCAAGCTTCAAGACATTTTAAGACTGCAAGATCCCGAACAGCAAGACTTGAACTGCTGAGAAGAAACTGAAGAAACGTAGACGTCACAAGTCTTATGTCATCAAGTTCGACACCGAACACCGAAAAGAAAGCCTCTGCTTCTGGCAAAGCCGGAGATGGAATGTGCAGCGGCAGCTGAGGCCAGGTGGAACGTCGCGAATCGTCAAAACATGTCAAAACACAAACAAAATGAAGGCAAACAAACTGACTATCTGAGAATTACAGCAGAACCAGCATGAAGAAGGCCTTCCCAGAATTGGTACAAAGGGACCAAGGAACATCTATGATAAGTAATTATACACCACTAGTCACTAGACTAAGGATCTAAGGCTGTCCGACGAGTTTCCTGCAGGATCACTAAGGACCGCATGCGTCCACCGCATGCATCCACCGCTCACCACTCGACCGAGCGCCGGGCGACCGAGACGCTTCTCACGTCTCTGGAGTGCTGTGGTGCTTCCCACCTGGGTGGCGTGGAGTCCGAACGACACGACGGGGTAAACCGAAAGAGCCATTGGTTTTCATCGATGAAAACGATGATGGTGCACTCCGACTTAGATGTGTCATGATGTCTTGCTTTGGATCTGGGATGATCCGGGTTGCATCTGGGTGCAGATTGTCTGGCCAAGTGGGCCGTTCCGTTCCGACTCGAAGTTAAGCTCTGAGCAACGGCCTTTTCCCAGATGGCCGCCCGAGGCAAGGTACGATACCTGCCGAACCAGTCAATACCGACCCAGATCACGACCCAATGGGGTGAACGTCGTTTCTTGCGCGAGAGCTGAGACCATTGGGTGAGGCAAAGCAAATATTATGTCAAACCATGTCAAACCAAACAGCTTCTCACATCGCACTCTAAACCGACCCCATGTGGTTTTTCACGACCCGGCCCGGCTATTGAGATGGCCCCTGGACCCCATCCTTTGAGCCTGGAATCATAGCTATATAGATCTTGACCTTTCAACTCTGCAACATTTCTGACTTTTCCTCTATAAGACCAGCCAAAAGGCATCAATTTTGCATAGTTGGAAGCTCATCCGGTATGGCTCATGGGTCAGGGCACCAGGCAGATCCGGCAAGACCGCCCCTTGGTCTCGATCTGGTTGTGCTTCGTGAACATGGTGGGTCACGACCCATATTTCAATAATACTTTAGTTTCTTCCAAATTATTCAAACGAATGGATTGCAATAGGACTGAAAAACACAAGAGACCCGTTCATCATGTTTCATCCCTACCTTGTTTTTCCGGGGAGTACATCAAAAATATGTACTATGCCGTTCTGTTTTTTTTTGGGGGGGATGGGGCGGATAGGGATATAATTGTATAAAGATGTTCACATATATATATATATTTATATATATATATATATATTATAATATAGTATAATATAATATAAAGTAAAATAAAACAATATATATATTGTTCATTTCTCATGTCTCATGTCGCGTTTCTGTCTCTTTTTCTGCAGCTCGAGGTCCCGCCGCAGCGAGGCCACCCCGCCTGGGCCCGAGGAGTGCCATGAGGTCTCCGAGGCGCTCGATCATGTCTGGCCTTCGAAGCGGCATGGCGGAAGAAGCGGTGGCCGCGGTCCTTCTTTTATCAAAAAGAAATCGATCGGTCCGGTCTTCATCAACTGGGTGATTCCCCGACCTTTTTCCTCCAAAAGAGATGGCAAATGGCAAAGGAACGGGACATCGGTCGGCTGGTGTCATCTGCGTTCTCCCGCATCGAACCCATGAATCGAACCCGAAAAACTGGGCGAAGAGTTCCGAGAAGGGAACAATTCCTTATGAGTTCGTTATGAGTTCCTTAGTTTCCTTATGAGTTCCATTTTTTTAAAACGGTGTCGTGCCCTGTGCAGCTCTCGTGTTCGTGCCCTGAAGATCTTCTCCGGCGTTCTCGCTTCGCTTTGCGCGCTTCTTTCGCCGTCGTTCCAGGTGTCCGGGCGGGTCACGGGGACGCAGTCCTGCGGTGGGGTCACGGTTTCCGGTGGAGGGATGGTGAGGGGTTTTTCATCCTTCTCAGAATGCGAATGGAACAGTTATGGAACACTGGAATTTTCATGCTTCCGTTTTCCATTCAGTCTATGCATTGCCTATGCGGCAGGGTGTGGGGAAGACACTAAGAACTCCTTTTCAGGCCGTGCTGGGTTGGTGCGGCTGGGTTGAACCTTCATCGTCCGCCGGAATCGGCATCCTCCAGCCCAAGTGGCTCTCAGAGCCGCCGCTTCGGCGTCCGCAGCGGCCAGTAGCTCTTCCTGTCCGCAGTGAACAAAGCGTTTTGAAGATCCCGAGATGGAACAAGCAGGCGGAACATCTCCAGCTTGATCACATTTTCATGACATGGGCTTTTTCTTAATTTTTAAGTGTTTCCCCTAAGTAGATTAACACAGAAATCATTGAAGGCGTTACAACACATGACTGAAGGCAACAGTCATGGAGAGTTTTAAACCCTAAAGGAACCACTGACTGCTTCACAATTTCTTCCAGACATCTCAACCAAATTTTCTAATATGTATATCAATAATTGTATATCATGTAATTCATTCAAACACACGCACACACACACACACTCTCACATTCGGCCCATGAAGACAACGCGACCTCAGCTCCACCGTTTCGCGCGCACGAGCTCAGTTCCGTCTTTTCTTTGGTCGGAGGGGCCTCTCGGCTGGGAGCGCCAAACAATCGATCCTCTTCGGTCTCTTCCCGCTCCACGGCGCCTCGCGCACCGTTCCGCGTTCCGCGACGCGGCTGCGCGACGCGGCTGCGCCGCGACCGAGCACGCGGGTTTCCCCTCCGGGCGAAAGGAGGAGGGACGGTGCTGATGGGAGGGGAAGGTCTGTGAGGAGCCCTTCACATCCCTACGAGAAATACGAGGAATTCCATGGGTCGGTCACCGTGGAGTCGTGTGGATCGTTCACGTGGCCGACCGAACCGAGCTCCGGTCACGACCCACCGATTTGTGGTCTGTGACGTCCAACAGGACGACACGAAAGACGAACACTCAAAGCAGTTGGGACAATGGAGGACCCAAACCGACCCGTTTTTGGTTTTGGGTCCCTGTCCGACTGTCCGACGCCTGCCTGGGAAGAAACCAAAGGCGGGCATGGTCCTCATGCTCGCATCGAACGAGAAGAACACAGATCGACAGGAGGTAAGAGACCTGGGGCTTGTCGCTTCGACCTATGTACCAACAAGATTAAGACACCAAAGCCACCAATCTCAGAGAGTCTGGGGCTTTTTCTCACCAAAGGTTGACACGCCTTAGTAAGCCTTAGTACTTTGGAAGAATCTGCTTACCCTGCATCTTTCCAGGTTCTGGGTGTGAAAGCACTCAAAAAGAGATAAAAAGAGACATCCTGACATCCACTGTCCTTTTCTTCGGAGATGCGCGCCTACACAAGCAGGCCAGGCAAGTAGAACAAATCATCCGGTGTCTTCACTTGCACATCGGTGTGATCCAACTGCCAGCAGGCTGCCAGCCCCAGTTTCGTGTGGAGAAGACTCAGAACCTTCGAGCCTGAATTTGGTTGCATTGAGAGAAGTTGACAGAAACTGCACATCTCCTTGCACGGCGCATGTAGAAATGCCATCCAAGCACACATGGTGGCAACAAAAACCTACTCTCAATGCTCAGTTTTTGTCTCTTTTGATTGCTGCATACGGATCACCCATTCTCCTGCTGTCTCGTGTTCACCGTGTCCCGGGGGCGATGCCGGAGCAGAGTGGGTGACATAGGACACCTCAACGTTGAATGGAGTTGGGGTCACGGTGTTGCCAGGTTTTGAAGCCTCCATTCCCCATCACGGATCCTTTCCCAACCTAAGCACCTGTCTAATGTTCGTTCACTTTCTGTGGTGTGCTGGCTCGAATGCTCCACGCTTGCACAGCCCAAACATGCATGGGAACCTGTTTGTCGGAACACCTTTTTCTTTTGACGTTCGGAACATCACGATGAGCTTTCAGTCTGAAGTCGCATTTGTCTTCAGTTCCAGGACCCATTGGGTCCGAATTCTCATCAATCCTTTTACATCTTTTACTTCCTTTTTGTTTTTAAATGTGTTCATTCTGATTCATTCTGATTCATTCTCATCACAGCCGGTCGGCTATTTGACACCATCACCACCGGTCGAACGCCGGTCTGTCCACCGGTCGAACGCCTCTCGCCTCGTCGGGCCTCTGCTCGTCTCGAGCTCGGCGTTCGGGTTCCGCGTGTCGCTCCGTCGGGTTCCGCGACTTCAGTCGCAGCGGGGAAGAAGGCCTGGACTGGCCGAGCCGAGAGTGGGCAGAACCCTATGTGGACAACCATTCGATTTAAAGGCGGAGAAGACATGAAACAATTCATTTCTACAAGAGTTTTTGAGGGGTGCGACTGGGGGTGCAAAGAAACTAGGAAAAGAAAGGAACATCTATAGGACTCTGCTTCAAAATGAAAGGAACATCATTTAAAGGACGCGGGCTGAGAAAGAACAACTCACGAAAAGGACGCAGGATGTTGCTAGTAGCTATAGCCATTTTTCAAGGAACCATGACAGCTTGCCTGCCCAGTCGAAAGGATCAATTCTTCAGCCTATTTCTACTCCATCTTCCCCCGAGAACGACCTGTGTTTTCCACTGTCACTGACTGTCCAGTTCGCTCCTTCGTCGGGAAAGACCAGCTACGTACAAAACCCGCGGATGAACGTGGTTGAAGGAGACCCTCCTTCTGCACTCTTCTCTTAAACCAGAATGCTTAAGTGTTCGGTCGCCTTTCTTTACCTTGGAACAGCTCTACTTTCTTTGATCATGACTTCCCACTGTTCCTCTTCTCTACCAATCACTCCCTTTCTACCCAGAGTGTTCGCTTTCAAACACAAATCAGCTATGAGAAGATGACCTGGACTCCCACGGTTTAGATGACCAGCTTCTCTTCGCTTCGTGTTTAAAGGATCGGAGCCTTCCACATGCACCCGGATGAATCACCGGATGCATGAACTCCGGATGTGAAGCGGCAAAGCCTCGGAACGACTCGCTTTCGTCGCGAGTTCGAACAGGCGAACGAACAGGCGCTCGGCTGAAAAACCAGGGAGGAACCGGTGCAGTCCATCCATCACAACTCCTCAAAGAGGAATGACCCGGGGGAGTCCATCAAGCTCTGTAGGAATGACTCTTTGATGGACCAGTTAGGAAAATCCAGACTGTCGAAGAAAGGCTGAGGCGCATGAGAGCCACCCAATCTCCCGGCTTGTCGATGAAGCCATTGATATGGATGGCGTGGCCTATATAGTATATATATAGCGGTTTCAGAGTAGATGGGACAATCCCCAAAAGGTGGTTTATATGGACCCCACCAAAAAAACCTCTTGGGGTTTGTGCCATCTACTCTGAAACTAGTGTATGTAAATATATATCTTTCTCATTCTTTCTCCGTCCTCGCCCGAAAAGACCCGCATAGCACCATGCTATCAACCAGTCCAGTTCACATCACCTCCCTCGTGCCGGTGAATGACTTCCCATCCCTTCCCGTCGCCGCTCTCGCCGCTTGTGCGCACCCTGGAAGTCCATCATGCTTACGTGGATGGCATGGCCCCGAAAGGAGAACCATTTGCCTCGGAGAAGAAAACAAGGTGAATTGCAATATCTCGGTTCCACCTGTTCTATCTCTCTAGCCATATCCATTTGGTGGCGTCACTACCAACACTGTGGTTGAGTGGTGGAAGTTTGTACACCTGTTCATGTTTAGTGGGGAAACCAATCTCCCAAAAAGGTTCAAAGGGTTGTCCACTCACTGGGTAGGCCAAGAAACGGGTTGCAGCTTTCCCAAGTGACTGCAGTGATGGAGTCCCGGCAACCGCCTGCAAGCGGCATGCTGCAGCAGTGTCCAAGAATCCACCAGAAACCTCCAAATGGCCAGTTTTTCCAGGTTCTCCTATTCGTCGCCCTCCCAAGAGGGTGATAGATCTCCTTCTGACATCTCTCAATGAAGAGAATTAAAAGAACAGCAAAACAACCATCACTAACAACTGAAGACAAGCTACACATCACATTCAAAAACAGATCCCAAAACATCCACCCAAAACCATCCATCGTGTCGACCGTTCTTGGAACGGACCCCTCCCGCCGCCACCTCTGAAGCTCGGAGCAGCGGTGTGGACCTCGGAGAAGCGTCCGGCGACAATGACATGAAGGGGGCATGAAGACGTGCCATGTGGACATGAAGACGTGGGATGTATACATATATATATATAATATATCATATTAGATTGTATATACATAATATTCATATTGTATACGATATGTATATGATATAATATATGTTGTTTATGCATACATTAGATGATGATATGGGGGAAAACAATGCTATTAATTCCTTTTTCCACCACATATCATTGGCCATGATTCTTGCTTTGCTTCAGATCCACCACATCATCCATGGCACATGAGATGGGCATGAGAAAAGGGACTGTGACTCTAGCGGAACGAAGCAACCCCCTGCTCAATGGCTGGCCATGGTTTGCTCTTAGGCCCAGCTCCTCGCTTCCATTACCCTTCCTCTTAGTGTCCGTGGTGCCCCTTCCTTGGTCCCCTGCGCACTCCTTGTGGGACTTGGCAGTGGGCTCGTGACCTGTGCTCCATCAAACATCTCCAACTAGTTTACTGTGCCCTACAGGTCAAGGACCTCATTTGACTGGATCGGTCATACAAAACCAGTACTCAATGAGGTCCAGGACCAGGTTTAACTTGGCCCTTGGACTTGTAGGGCGTATGATGGGCTCAAACGTCTCCAATCGTCCAAAGGCGCGAGACATCTGAGGCAGTGGCTGGTCGACTCGCCTCAGTCATGTGCTTCCCTCACAAAGCCGGATAGAAGAAAACCGCCCAAGAACCATCGTGAACGGTCTGACCCTTCCTCCCTCCGTTGTACTAAACAGTCAGCTTTTGAGGCTTTGGCCAGGCATCTAGCTTCTACTGCAAGGGGATGCCGCAAGTATTAACAAGTGCCACGCTAGTAGTAACAGGTGCCTTACTAGTAGTAACAAGAAGCTACTAGGAACAAGTGCATCGCTTCTAGTAACAAGTGCCTTACTAGTAGTAACAAGAAGCTAGTAGAAACAATGCGTCCCAGGCCACAGCTCACATGGTCTACCGGTAACACGCCGCTAGCCCTGCCGCTAGCCCTGCCGCTGTCAACCGAGGCTACAGCAACATCCTCCTCCTTCTCATGCTTCGCCCGTATGAAATGAGCCTGCGGCCATCCAAACATTGAAAAGACCTAGCCTATCAGGTATGTCTTGATGGATGAATCAAGGCGGAACCATCGAGGCGGAACCAGGTGGAACCATCCCAGGCCCAATCCCACCCGTCGCGGCCCGTCTCTTTCAGGCCCTTCGGGCGAGGACTCTTTCCCCGGGCCCCTCTTGGTCAGATCCGTGGCAAAGCCCTTTAGTCACCTTCATCACCACCTAAACGGACGTTCTCCATCAAAACAATGCCCAAAGAATGAGGCTCTTCAAGCAAAAGCAACCATGTTTACGGGATCGTTCATGGTACTCCAGGAAGAACTGATGTTCATATCCTTTGCTTTCAATTCTTTTTCATGAACATCTGGATTGCTGTGTAGATAGAAGAAAAATGAATCCAAACTCCCGAACCAAGGAACCCTCTACGACACTTGATTCAAGAGCTGAAAAGCATTAGCTGGGCAAAACAAGTTGCCCACTGCGCTGAAACAAGTGCACTTGTTACTGCTTATTGTGGTACTAGTAGGTGCAATATGGTGCAATGGTGTCTCAAACAATCACAAACCAGACTTCCCGCTTTCACCCATGACAACCAATCCCTTCTTGTTGACCTTCTCCCATCCAGTATACCCCATCCCATCCTCATTCCCCAGGCGAAAAAAGAACACCGTCCTGGAGTTCCTTCTCGATCAAGAGAGACTTTTGCTTCTTAAACTCCACCTGGCCACGCCACCCGCGGTGGCTGTCAGCGCACGTGGACGTCAGTGCACCGACCAGTCGCGAGAGGGAACCCCTCGGCGTGGCGCTAGGTACGCCCTTCCGTTCGTGATTCGTGATGCGTGACTTGGGCAAAGGAGTTGAAGCGGAACCGGAACCGCCTTGCGCAAGCCGCACTTCTTGAAATGCCTGGAGATCCTGAAGCGCTGGGTCCGAATCGATCAAGATGATCAAGCAAATGCTTGAAGATACTTATCCTGGAACTAAGATGGAAGTGGAAAGACCCCTGTTTGGTATGCCATCCACTTCCACCCACACTTCTTGAATGCTGCGTCCCCCCTTTTCGAGCAAGGACACCGAAACCACGGAGAAAACGGACACCGGACACCGGCACTTGGCCCTGCACTGATTGCTCAGCTTGGTGACTTGTGCGCTTTTGGAATCATCCGGCCTGCAAAGTTTCATCGGCAACGTAGAGAGGAAGCATGGACATTTTGAGGTGTGGAACGCGTGAAACGCGTGATTCACTATCACTGAGATTCACTATCTAGGCTTACTGCGAAGGTGCTTGGTTAGATGTAAGGATATAAGTTGGGTCTATCCTAATACCTGTAACAGTGGATGATGATGGTTAGTAAAGGCATTGTTAAAACATAGTGATAATTGTTTACTGACTGTTACAGGTAGTAGGACACACCCAAGATATAAGTTAGACATATGGTTAATGAAAATTCAGTTTAATTCATTATTGCATGTCACGACCATGAAATTCACAGGATAAAACGCATCTGAAGGGATTTCCGTCACGAACCCGGTCGACTAGTTGGCCTGGCTGGTGCCATAGCGAAGACCAGTGTCTTGCATGCGGTAAATGGATCCTGAAGGCTGATCAAGCAAGCGCCAAACTGTTAAAGCAACTGCTTGCAACCGCGAGAAACATGATGTTGCTGATGGAGATCACAGATGATTTTCGGAGGCTGACAACAAATTTCAGACGATGTACTCCTCTTTCTTCGCTGCCCGCATTCAACGACCCACTTTTCTACGCCAGAAACGGCTGGATGCGGCCGTAAGGGGCTGGGGATCCGACCCGGACGCTCCGTGCTGCACTGATCGGTCACCAATGGCAGCGACCGAATCAGACCGCGTTGGTGCTCGTTGCTCGATGGCTCGTTGCTCACTGTGATTGGCTTTCATCAGTCTGTCATCTACTTCGAGGCGATACAAAAGCAGTCTTTTACACATCCTTTGCCTTTGACTATATGAGCATAAGGTGGCTGGATGGATTTTCAATAGTAAGAGGCTCTCGGCTCTTTACTGGGTGAATGAACCTTTCCATGCTCCCACAAAAAGGAGTTCCCTTTGAACCCAAATGTCCATCTGCACAACTTCAAACCAGCAAGTGGGCAAGTGCAATCCTGTGCTGACCAGGACGTGGCAAAGTGATGGACTGTAGGAAGTGATCAGTGGACTCTGAAGACCATATCAACTCATCTTGATTCGTACAATTTACCTTTTTTATTCACTTATCTCATCTCAACTTTGTTCAAAAATCATCGTAACTCATTTTAACTCAAAAGATTCATCTTGACTCTTGACTTGTCTCAACTTCTTTTAGCTCGTCTTGAATCACCTCAACCCACATTTTGTTCCTTTTACTTTGGCGTAGTTCTTTTAACCAAATTTCAGCCACTTCAACAACTTAATTGATGTGAAGGCTAGTTTGTAACGTGTAAAAATATGTGGCGTGGAAACATGACACATGTCAGTAACACAACATTTGATCGGCGTAATCACCTAATTACCAGTGTTGGGTCAAGATCAAAAGACTAGGTATAGGAGAGATGAGTGGAGAGGATACCCAAACACACCCAAACCAACAAATACCTAGCGCCCCAGCGCTGCAAAATCACCGCAGTCTGGTGGGGGCCGGCTTCTAAATGACATTGTGATTTTGGGGTAGGGTCTTTTGAACGCAATCCAGCCACCCGTTGGAAGTCATCCTGCAATTGCTTAAATCGCTTCTTTCATCTTCTTTCTGTTTCAACCACACGAACGCGCAAGAAATAGAATCAAACAGGCCAACTCAGACCATTCGAGACGAATCTCACACCGTGAACCACCACCCGTGACTCTTTCAGAATGAAGTCTTCGCACGAGACTTTTCTCGTGCCAGTCTTCGACAAACCAACGTCCCTGGGATGGGACCATCCCACACGTCGTGCCAGTCATCGACTCGGTCTTCCCATTCTTTTCTTCTGGGAAGGTCTGATAAGCAGCTGGCACCTGGGGTACGGAGGTCCGAGACTTGGCGGGACGGGACTGGGGCTTAGCTCGTACGGAGAGTGCGCTTGGAGTGCGCAGTTGGCACGTTCACGAAGTCCCAACTCCTTTCGAATTCACACGTGTCGTTTCCAACACGTGTCGTTTCCATGACGTGCATCCCCCAGAGCACCCCAACAAAAAGAGAGAAACAACACATCGTGACAGGTTCACCGATTCGGGGGGCGATCTTCCCTGGGCGCCTCTTCCTCCTTGAAGTTCCAATCCTTCAAGGCCTCGCTCCGTCGCATCCGACCGACGAGGTGGGTCGATCGAAGCGAAAGAGACGGAAGGACGAAGACGCCTGTGACATATGATGTCTCTGATTGTCTCTGGGTTCCGTAACTTTTGAAGAAAAGAACCAGGGAACCGGCCTGGACCCGCTGACAGATGATCAATTGGATTTGTCATGTCATCGAAGGTCCATTTTCTTCCCTTTTTAGCTCGAAGAAACACCGGTCCCCGAAGCACTCTCCGGTGTTCCTCGAAAGCACTCCCGTTCCCGTCCGTTGAACCAACCAAACAGCCGGCTTCTCGAAATCGCCTCGCTCAGGGATCTCAAAGGACCCACGTTGGGTCTGACCGCGCCTAGGCGAGAGAGAGAGAGAGAGCGAGCGAGAGAGCGTGACGTGCGAGAGATCGAATGAATGGAGATACCAGGGATTTTGAGACCCTTATGGAACCGGGTTTGGCATGGACCAGACTGTCCTCCATCAACCAGTGGTGTTCAGGTTGCATGTGGGTCTCTTCCAGTGCGTATGGGTATATATATATAATATATACCGACTGGTGATTAGCATGTAAGGAGTGAGGGAATGGATCCCTCATGAAGTATAATAAGGGCTCATTCCCGTATTCTCTACGAAGCACGAGTCAGGATATGGATATGGGCCTGGGTGTATCAGGAAGGAGACCACCCTCTTTTGACCCACACTTTTCCGTTGATGGCTCTGTTTCGCGAGGGAACTCGAGCAAAGCTCTGGCAGAAAATGTCCAGACTTCGTGTGAGATCCAAAGAACACTGTCCGGGCGTTGCAGAGTCTTCCTATTTTGGCACCAGCGGTGCCACGACTAAAGCACCAAAACAGAGACCCACACAACACAACTGGGCTTGCTTCCTTTATCCACAACTGCTGTAAGCTTTCAGGATGACTTGAACATGGGATGCAAAGGACTTGAACAGCAAATTCATGTGGTCAAAACAAAGGTCCCGTCGCCCCTTTGTTTCTAAAGAAATTCTAAAGAAAAGTAAACAACAGGGACTATAACTAGCAGAACAACCCGTGTACATACTTGTACTATAGTACCTATAGTCGAATGAAGCTTCTGCTTGGCTTCCGGCTCCAAAACGCTTCCTTGACCTCCTTGCTCACCATGGACTCCTCCACCTGTGAAACACACAGGTCGAAGATCCCACGGCCCGCCGGTTGGGGGAAGCTGAAACGACGTGTTCAGCGGCGTGGGTCCAGTAACGTGGTGAGCAACGGTGATGAACTAGCCCAAGCACTCCATGGATGGGCGCATTTTCACGGCTTCGCTGTTGCTCCGTGGTTTTCACATGCCCAGACACGCCATGGGACTGCCATATATGCCGACCAGTTCGGGTGGTTGAACAGGGGTCAATGCTGCTACAGCGCTGTTTGGGCCCCCACCTCACGTTGGTATCTCCACGTCAAGCACTCAAGGCCGAAGGCCTCAGTGCCCGAAGCTTCTCCAGGAACGGACCATGTGCGGCGTAGGACGTCGCTCAAACTCCATCTCAAACTCTTTCACCTGACGAACAGATGCAAGATTAAAGCCTAGAACCCAGACATGACCCCTGTTTTGGATAGGATTTCAGGACATGTTGAGGGTTTGGATGGGTTTCGTGCTCCAAAAGGCGGTCATTCAGGTGATCTAGCTTTGTAGAGAACATAAGACATATATAACACATGAAAGAAAACGCCGGATCATGCCGGATCAGAGGAACTTCCTCATTGATCCGGTCGGGGGTGTGTTGCCGTCTTCTTTTTGACGCTTTCCATCATATTTTTTTCAGCAAATCACATCCGCTCTCCATCAGTGCAGTGATCTGTCTGAAGTGAACACACCTGAGGAGCCAACCATCCTGTGAGCTTCAACTGCTAACCTCACCTCAGAGCTCAGTCCAGAGTCCATTGAAGCAGTGGCCCCATGAGCTCGCTCACACGCAAGTGGCGTGGTTCGTCCCAAGTGGTTCACATAGAGTGGAGCATCTTCCCGCTTCATTTCCAAAGCGCAAAGGGCGGCCTGCATTTTGAAACAACATGCAATATGGCCGGGGTGCTTCTCTGCTATGGTGCAAACCCTGCCTGGGTTGCATACACCGCTAGAGCTTCATCATAGGGTGGACAATGATGACAAGTGAAAGCTGCCAGGCGTCGCCAGTTCTGCGGGAAGCGAGGGCGGAAAACCTTCTTGGACATGTGTTTTCCTTCCTCTAAAGAAGGCCTGCAGAGCTTCTTCCCATCGGCACAAGTGCATGAACGCGATTGCCTTCAGTTAAGCCGAAGAAGCCGTGAATGCTCTTTCACCAAGAGGCCAAATATGTCCAAGTACGGCTATGAACCGATATTCCATCATATTCCATCTATGCCTGAACCACCCGAAGCTCTTGGGCATCTTTTCCAAGAAGCACGGTCTTTGGGCCTTGGGGATCCTGCGCGGACACCGATCGTCACCGTCAACGCGTCGGTGTCTGGCAACGGTGAAGTCGTCTCCTCTCCACCATCCACCTCGTCAAGCTCCAGCTGCTCCTGGGTTTTCTGCATGTGTTTTTTGGTCAACATCCCCGGCGTGGCCAGATGGTCTTGATTTGGGGCAGACTGAAAGATCAAAGGATAAAACAACTCAATTGATCCTGATTTCGTGCCAGGTTTCAGCTTGCCCCTTGACGGTTTCACTCTGCATCATTACAACACATTACCCATAAAAATCCTGCAACCTAACAAGTCAGAGCCTGATCTCGGCTTCACTGTCAGCGCTTGCAGTTCAGATGGTCCACACACTCCCTCTCTCTCTCTCTTCGCTGTGATGGAGACCACCTTGTCATCGTCTCAGTCTCACCATGGGTCCACGGCGGCCGGTTCGGTGAAGACAAAGCGGGGGTGAACATGGAGTGTTCATTGAGGTGCAGTGTTTTTTTTTTTTTTTGCGAAAAGTTCTGGACAACCTTTGAAGAGCCCATTGGAATGGACAAGACCCATTATAATGTAGACTCTTGGTGAATAACCACCCATTCGGATTGTAAACCGTCTTTAATTTATATGGGTGGTTTAATTTATATGTGTATAAGATTAATCAAGAGTCTACGCCCCTGGAAGACTAACCTGGAACTTGAAAACGACTGGGTGGTAGAGGAATATCGTCTTCCAGTCTGGTCCATGCCAGTCTCCCTTTTCTATGTTTTTGTCGAACCCGGGCGTACATGAGACATGGCCCACATGTATACCATCTTAGGGCCTGACTGACCCTCTCAGCAAATCTCGGCCCTCACTGACCAACTCTCCACTGCTTCTCCTCTTCAGCCTCTTCTCCGTCCATCTGCCCTTCGAGTGCTGCATCAATGGCTTCCACCCGTTCCTCGACTATCGGGATGCCCAGGGAAAACAACAAGAAAGAGGGTATGGCAAATAGCCTCAAAAGATCTCAGAGGCATTCAATGGCTCTATTTTATTCTACTTTTGTACGTCTTATCTTATTCAATAATCCTCACACGGAATGCAGACTTGGCATCACAGGACGAGTCGGACGAGTCGGACGAGTCCGAGTCACTTGTGGAGGGAGCAAGGCTAATCTCGCTTGCACTTGAGCATCCACACGGATAAATGTCCTTCGAAACGAACTGGTGCAACGAATGGACGGCATGTCACCGGTCTCGGGACCGCCTCGTGTTGCCCTGCGGGTCATGACGCCACAGTTGCCCTTTTCACCGCAAGTTCACCAGTCCGCTTCACCTGGCAGTTCCAAAGGAATGTTTTTGAGTGGATGTTCTGGGCACCCTTATCCTCCAAGTTCGGCACCCCGACGTGGAACTGCTGGTAGTAATTAAACATAATTAAACGTATTTCGTCCATTCTCTTCATGTTCGCCAGCAACAAATGCGGGGTTCCTCCATTGGTTCACCAACCCACAGCCCAGCGGTTCCATGCAGCCCAGCCAGCGGTCTCCTGGAGCCTCCCAGCCTCACATCGACGGATGGACGGAGAAAAGGGCACTCAACGCACGACGCACGACGCACCCAAAGCATCCGTGGGACTGAACGAGTGGGCCCCATGGGTCAAACGTGCAGTAAGATGCAGTAAAACGTACCAGCACCACCCAGTTGGGGTGCTTATTAGATGGAAAAATACATCTTCAGGGGGGGTCTATAAACCACCCTTTGGGTGGTGCTGGTATGATTGATCATGTAATTATGCAACGATTCCAGTCCCATAGATGCTTTGGGGAAGAACAAGCCCAGGACACGACGGGATCTGCTCGGCCACATGCTCTGCAACTGGCCGAAGAAACACCCGACATCACAAGCTGCAACAGTTCATCGCTGCTCGATTGCTGCCGAATTTGCGTGTGCTTCACTGGTGATTCGCACAATCTTTTAAACATGAGAATGACGTTTGAAGCGCCGAACTCAACGCAGCGCCCTGCAGCGGGTGGGGAGACACTTCAAGCAACCTGACGATTCTCCGATTCTCCCAGCCTGCAGCTGAAGTCGCGGTTCAAAGACCTGAACGCCGACACTCGGCGGTGAGAAGATCGACTGGCAAGTCCCAGTTTTGTGTCCGGGATCATACAATCCATCACATATTTAGTTCATCATAAATTGATTCTGAATTAATGCATATTAATTACTTCCATGGACACAAAACACCTATATATAGATATGTATATATTAATAGTATCAATGATTCATGACAGGTCCACTTCCGTGCAAAAACATAACAATCGACGCTTGGTGGTGAAATACGGCGTGGTTAAGCAGAGTATATATAATATATAATATATCTTCATTAAATAGTCCATATAATTCTTCGTCCATGTGCAACTCACAGGCCAATTGACTCATGGTCTTCACCACGAGACTCGTCGACTCCGTGCGCGGCACGCGCCGGACGCCCGGTCCGAGACATCGAACGGTCCGGACGAACGGTCGGGACGCGACGACGCGAGTGGGTCCAGGCTTTGACCCACGCCCATCGTCCCAAAAAGCAAACAAGCAACCCACATGTTGGCCGCCCAAGTCCTCCTTCAGCTAGCGAAGGGGGCTAGTAGGAGCCCACCCAACTGGGGAGCCCTGCTGGCTTCGCAAAGACTTCGGCGCACAAAGCAGTTCCGACCTGGCGAAGGTCGGACGTCGAAACGAATGGACAAGGGGAGCCCAAACCAGGCCCTACAAGTCCAAAGACCCAGTAAAACCTGGTCTTTTACCTCCTTAAGTATTGGTTTTGTATGACCATCCCCAGTCCCCAGTGAGGTCTTTGACTTGTAGGGCAGGGTTTAAATGTTTTGAGTGGCTTTTCCCGGGGGCCTTGTTCTGGCGCAAGCTCTTTCGAGGCAGGCCGGAGAATGGATTGCAGGACACATCGCAGGACACACGCAACGGGGATGGAACACTTCAAGAGACACGTCTCTGTTTTGAGTTGCAAACCCATACGCCGCTGAGATAGCGGCTCAATGTAGGTGATGCATAGCCTCGCGCATTTTTACTGTGGTTCAGCAGGAGATGAATGTGCCTGGAATAGAATGAATAGAATAACTATATACATAATATGTCTGCATTGACGCCTGTTCAACGACCCCAATGTAGGCATATATGGCAGTCCCATGGGTGTCTGGGATATACACACATGTTTGTCGCATATGATCTGGGCTTCCAAGAAGTTGTTTATACATGTTTACACTTCTCGTCCCGTCACTGAGACCTGGGCTCTGTCCCTGCATCCACCTTTTGATTGGTGACAAAGGCCGTCACGTCGCCGATGGAGTATCGCTGCACGGATGGCCTTGGCCACAAAAAAACAAACAAAAGCGACACTGAAAAGGGTTCCATGACTTGCAGGGCGAGTAAATACGACGCGGAACCCACATGCCAAACCTGCCGTTCAACAGCCTCACAAGGAGTTGGGGAGATCATGTGAGAATAATACTGTCGCACTATGAACAAGAAAGATAATGATTCTATCGCACTATCACTACGACATAGTTCGACTATATATTAATATGACAAGATAAGACAAGACTAATGAAAATCATGAAGCAAACAGTGAGTTGGGCAAAAATAATGAACTCACATCCATGGCATGCACTGAAATGGGCACCAGTGGAACTGGGCCTTCAGCGATTTCGTGTCAAAACTCCCTCCGCCGTCCACACGAAAGTGGTCGCCGACACGAAAAGCGAACAGAACAATCCGGGTCAAAGACTTGGATTGGCTGTCGAATCCGTAAAAACAAGTATTAGACACCCTAATCCCCCCATGCCAGCGGATTTGCCATGATCCATAGGGAAGACTATGGGACGACCCAGACACTCCATGTATGCCCATGTATGCCATATATGCCTACATTGACCCCCCAAACCACCCCAATGTAGGCATATATGGCATACATGGAGTGTTTGGGAGATAACAATCACTCTAAGCAAAAAGCAGGCAGACCTGGCATTTGTTGGGACCCGTGGATGATTGACTGGACACATCAGACCGAGATCGCCGCAAACGAAAAACTCTGGCTTCGAGATCAACGAAGGCGAAGGCCCGGCGCCACCGGTGTGTGACAGGTGCCGTTGCGTGGGTTTCTTCGAGATCTCACGATAGAGAGAGTGATCGATGGGCCAACCGTTCTTCGGCGTCTCTTCTCGGTTCTCTCAGGGCGAGGCTCACAAGAATGATTGAAACCACTGGCCAAGGCAAAAAGCCCACTGCCCGTGAGTGGCAGGAAGTTGCTGTTGTGACCTGCCACACAGCAAAGCTGCACTCCCACATGTCACACGCGTGTGACGTCAGCGCCACGCGCGTGCGCCACGCGCCACGCGCGTACGCGGCTGACACGGTCGTCCGACTGGGCAGTGGCACAGAGCTGCTCGGAATGGGTATAGAAACCAAGAGCGTTCAAGCCTTAGATGATTGGGCCCTCATGGGCTCCCCCCCAAATAAAAAGAACTCCCAGTGAATGGGTCGAATAAAAAAGGGGCACACAAGAGAGTGGAGCAGTGACGAGAACACCTTCTCAATTCAAGATTCTTTGGGTAGAGGCACATCGCCCATTTCAACACCAAACGTTTGGATAGATTTGGACCAGTTTGGATACATTTAGCACTAAGAACATCATCTTCCTCACCTTTTGCCGGGTGGAACCACCTCTTAAGGCCCCGACGAACAACCTCTTGCAGTCGCTGCTGTGCGACCTGCGAGAGCTGCGAGAGCTGCTGCCAGGCGGAAGATGTCGCCTCTTTCATCCCTTCCAAAGCATCCTCATCCTCGGCACGGGAGGGTCAAACAGGATCCTCAACTGCACTGACCTGACTTAGAGCTTCTACAGTCTGACTAGAGCTGTTTTTCCTGCTAGACAAACTTAGACAAAGGAGCCTCAGAGGATCTCAGGAGTGGTCATCTACAGCGTGATACGTCTCAGAAATCGAGTTTTTTTCCGAGAAAACGGACGCAACACGGACGATTTGTCCGTTTTTTTTCAAGCGCCTCATCTTCGCTCTCTGCACTCGAGTTCCTCGTGGGCTCCTGTTTCGTTGGTCCGATGTCTTCCGCTCGGATGTAGAACGGTCGGTGTCTCTTCCGCACGGTTTGGTGTTTTCGGCGGTGTTTCTTTCGTGGTTCAAAAACCACAACCTTCAAGCTGGAAAGGTTCAACATAAGACATTTATTTGGAATTGGGTCAATACCTGGAGCCCTGGTCCACCACGTAGCTTGACCTTGCAGGTAATTAAGCTCTCCTGCGTTTGATCCACAGCCATTTGTCACCTGCCCCTCCCAAGATTGAGTACGGCATCCTATGGCTGAAATATGCTGAAATTATGAGCGCGGGCCCATCGAAAAACTTCGGAAACGTCACAACTCGCCTGCGGATGGAAAGGCTTTAGCACTGCATCCAAGCTTGACGAGAAAGACCTCGCCAACGCGATGCCTGCACGGCCATGTCTGCCGGGCCGTGGAACAGCCATGGTCCCACCAGCACGGTGTTCTTCGGTCACCAATTCTCGGTGGCACGTCCGACCAATCGTCAGCTCACAATGGTCCGAGCAAAGTGAATGAGACTGCTCAAAGATGCTCAGAGTGAACTGCTGGATGGATCCGATTCAAGGGGGTATTGCGGGGACTTCCCAGGGGATAGTGCTGGGATCATTGTAGGGGAATGACCGATTCCATTCCTCCTTCGAATGACAAGTGAGAAGGCAGGAGATAGGAGTTGGATGGAGTTGGTGGGTGCATTTGGTGCAGTTTTGCTTCTCCAACTAAACTGCGGCAGGTGAGAGGTTTTGTTGCTTGCTTTGTTCTTGCATGTTCTTGCCTTGTTGGTGGATGGTGCTACCTCTTCTAGATCGCATGCTAGCCTCTCCGTAATTACCCTGCCCCATGGTCATGAGGAGTTGGTGAGAGATTCTCGCACAGGCAGTGTCCTTGCCATAATTCATTGCGACAACTGTGTTTTTGGCGTTCATGTGTAAGTAGCTTGGAGAGGAGGCGGACATGATCAATCATGATCAATCCGGATAATGCAACTAGTGCCGACAGATGAGATCATTATTACAACGCCACTTACAACGCCTCCAATTTGTCGACGTCAAAACCGGATCCGGTTGAAGCATGTTGCGATCATCGTAACTTACGCTCTTAAAAACGACGGAACGACGGTACTAACGCCTTTTCATCTGCGCCCGAACCCTGAACTGGCAAACCCATCGTTGCACCTCTGTGACAGGACACCAATCGCGGGTTCGGTCGATCCGTCGTCCTGGTCGTCCTCTCCCCGGGTGGCCAGGGAGGCGGAAGGAGGGCGAGCTTCACAAGGAGGACGGCCGAGGTGTTCGATTTGGCAGTCTTTCTGTGTCTTCCCAGACATGTTCCGGTTTGCTGGGTGGGTTTCAAGCGTCACGTCTTGGTGGGCACGGCCCTCATAAATCACAACATGTGTCACACAATGTCACACAGGTGAGCAGAAAACGAGCTCAACGTGCCCGGGAGGAGTTTTCGAACATGCGCCAAAAATGTGTCCTCAAACAAGAAATTCTTTCCGGTTTGACGTGCGTTGTATCTCTTCTCACTCCATCTTTTTGTCCCGCCTAGTGCAGTGGTGTCAGCGCTGGAGCAATCCGCCCAAACCTCATCCTGGAGATTGCTCCATCCAAGTTCATTTCGTGTTGAAGTGACTCGTATAACGAAACAATCTGTCAAATCGAGAGACCTCTGGGCGGCACTTACCTCACCCCCAGGTTGGAAGGAATATGAATATGGGTGACGTTTGCACAATGGGGAGACTTCACAATCGGGTGTTCATCTATTTTCCGAACCTGACCCAGTGACTCAGTGATACTCAGTGGGTCAGAACGCCTCAGGTCTGTTGCTTCCGGTCCACACCCGGTCTCGAACCGGACACCCCGCAAACTCCCGGTGACGGTGCTGTGACCCAGAGCCAGCGGAAAAATAAGAGAGAGAGAGAGAGTACATTAGAGAGTATACATGAGTTCCATGTTTGAAAAGCCGCGCGCCTGCCATTCTTTATCCAATATAGCAACCTTGGACAATTCAAAGCTCTCTGCAGGAGGATTTCGGAACAGGAACTCAAGACTTCTTGAGTCAAGGGGCAAGGGGCCTTTCAAGCAAAATCAATGTGCCAGCTTCCAAAGTTCTTTTTGCAAACCAGCCACGACCTTAGCGCAAGCGCCCGAAATATATCTACACCTATGTGTAATATATAATTAACATTAATTAACTAATATTATGCAATACATTGTAATACAATATACACACAGAACTACGCACACAATACACTTATAGACACAGATGGCTCGCAAGAGCAAGTATCAGTTACTGAATCACCGATGCATTAGCACTTTGCAATTACCAGAGTTTAGTCCTTGGCTGAAGAAACTGGAAGGCGGCAAATCTGCATAACAAAGCTGTTTGAAAAAGGGTGAAACAAAGAGGAGATTACTGCGTTTAGACCTTGGCTGATTAAACGGGATGGTGAAGGGTCAGAAGAACATAATGTTTAACATGGGTGAAACAAACAGAAGGATTAAAAGTTATGCAGGTACTCAGGTACGTCGGTGAGCGTCCCCACCGATATCAGTGTTCAATGCATGAACAACCAGCCCCCGGCTGCAATTGAATTCGATGATCGTGATGTGTATCCCTTAGAAACATTGAGTGACACACACACACACAAATTGGTCAATGTTCTAACCCGGCCAAACCGCCAGGCGCTTTTTCAAGGACCTGTCTCGGGGCGGCCACCGCGGTCCACACGCTTGGGCCCCCCAGCCCTTTCCCGGCGAGGCTTGCAACATCAAAGCAGAGGAGACCTCGAGTCCGTTCGATGTTCCACTCCCGTACTGACATCCATAGACCCCCTTCGGGATGGTCTAGAATTGAATAAAACCAAGGCCCAGGACCCAGGAGGAGCGATTTTAACACAGGCTGCCCAAACATGGACAGATGTACAAACATGGACATTCCTTGTCCAAGTGCTGACCGCATGACGGCATCACGGCGCACCCGGCGGACGCGGCACACGGCGCCAATGTCAGGGACCGGACCGGGACCCGACCAGGAGAACCAGCGGACTGAGGGAACCATTGACCCCTGTTCAACCACCCCAACTGATCGGCATATATGGCAGTCCCATTAGTCGTGTCTGGGATAGTATACTATACAGTATACACCGTCATTTTCAGCCATCTTCCCTTCCTTGGTCTCTTGAAACAGCGTACCACTCTGGTTGGTTCATCACATCGTTGGATGTTTGGAAGGGATTTCGTTCCCCTCACGTTTCTGGTTCTTGCGTGTTCCCATCGGCGTAACCAGCTACGGCGAAGCCGGCGTGCCCCCGAGAGCGAAGCGGGCGTGCCCCTTTGAGCTTCCCAGTGTTGTAGTCTACAGTACTATAACGAGTTTTCCACTTGCCATATATATATGTTAAGTTATATCATCCTTAACATATTTTATAAACTGCTTAACTTAAACTATAAACTGGCTAAGTATCTTGTGTTATATTTATATGTTTGTTGCTTTTTATATGTTTTTATACATTAGTTGGATGGCTTATACCTTAACTTATAAGTTGGGAAGCCCAAAACTTATAAGAACTTGTAAGTTGGGTATAAGTTCTGTAAGTTGGCTGCGAGGCCATCTCTCCGTGATGCATCCGTATCCCATCGTAGCCCTTTTCTGGATGCGTGCAGCGAGGCTCGCCCGCTGCGTGCATGGCAGCATGCAAACAGCAACCACGCACACAACTTTCACACAACAACATCGCAGCAAATTCTCACAACTTTAACACAACACAAAACTTTCACACAACTTTCCCAGAACAACATCAGGCAACAGCATCCAAGAAATCAATTTTCACACGCTCAACAATTTTCATTTCACTTCTGAACGGCAGTTTTCTGTCTGGGTAGCCATGGCTGGCCATGATGCGCATATGGGCCCCATACCATTGGGGCCAAGTGGTGGCACACTGACATCAGAAAACAAGGAGTTCATCAAGAATAGAACCGGAGTTGCTGCATCGGTTCGGTATCGGCAGCAATGGGGACAACGCTGCTTGACTCTATCAGGACCACCAGGTCAGATGCAAATTGCAATGACAATGGCAAGGGAATGCATCGAAGCCAACGGCACGGAGGGGGGAAGGGTGCAGGAACCCGAGCAGGAGCTTCAATGGCGACAGCAGCCAAAAGGCAAAGGACACCAACGTCAGACTGCATCGCAGGCAAGCTCTTCGGCAGGCATTTCAGCTCAAGACTTTGCAGTCTTCCGGCAGACCTACGAGCAGCAGGTGTTGTACCTCACAGGCCAGATTCAATACCTGCAGCAGAAGCTTACATTGGTGGAGTCAACGGCTTCGAATGCTTTGCAGGTGGCGGCAGTGGCGCAGCAGCAAGCAATGGCGAATGAACAGCAGTTCAAGAGGCAACGCAAAGCGCACAAGAAGCAAAGGCAGTCTGAGGAAAATAAATCTCCTCAATCTTCAGAAGAGGCTACAGAGGAGGTGAAACCAGAGGCCGAAAGTCAAGCAGCGAGGAGACCATCGAGGAGTTCAGCGAAGAGTCCACCGGCAGCAGCAAAGAAAGATATTAAAGATGAACAATTCAGCGATGAGGAATCCTCGAGTTCATCAAAGGACGCAAAGGTATCAGAGCGTACAAAGGTGGTTTCTCCGACATCACCCGCCGAGAAGGAGCATTTCATTATTGTTGAAAACCTTACAAAAGATTGTAGTTTTAGTTTCCCTGAGGCTCGCCCAGGGTTTAGTTGCTTCTTGTGAGTCATTGCCTTGCACCTTCTTGATTTATGGTTTGTGGCACGCTGCTATGATTCCAGGACTCACCATCGGTGCCTACGGTTCTACCTCCAGGCATTCCGCTGGCTGTGATTAAGTCGGATAAGAACACGGACGAGGCCATTGGGTAAAAGGGAAAAAGAACCTGGTGCGGGAAGTTCAAATCAAAGACATGCAATCTTATGGAATTTGAATTGTCCTGCAATATTTGTTCATGAAAGCATTGCTGCATGAATCAAGTTTTCAAGTGATATGCCTGCTTTTTGTCTTTTGGTTCAATATGGTTCAATCCTCGGTGGAAGGATCGGCCTCCACAAAAAAACAACTTTTGGAAGAAGGCTCGCCCTCCACGAAAAACTGTTTTGGAAGGCTAGCCTCCAAAAACATGTCATCAAGGCCATTCATCAGGCTACCCAGAAATGTGTCCTTTGGGGACTACATTGAATTGTTGGGTGACGACGAACACGATGACACACATCAACGGAAAAAATTACGAATGCAAATTCGTGATCCATTATTAGCTGAAGGGCGTTGTGGACAACTTTTGAGATCTATGGAGGTGACCATGCATGATGGAAAAAAATACCAATGGCACTATGTGGACCCCAAGGCCCTTTTGAGTCAACTCACCAAGGAGCATCCAGAAATTGGTGATCATTTGAAATCAGTGGACACAACGGTTCAATTGGCCTTTTACATGGACGAGATAAAACCAGGTAATGTGCTCAGACCTGATTTATCCCGCTCCCTTTCATGCTGGTATTTCACCATAGTGCAATTACCTTCGTTCTTCCATTCACGAGCAGATGGCTGGTTTTTCTTCGGGGCCTTCCCAAGCAAGTACAGCAAAGACCAACAAGACTACAGCTATCTATTCCGACTCATGCTGGAAACCTTCTTTGATGGTGACTTCAACTTGAGCAAGGGCATACCTTTGTACAGCTCTTCGGGGACATTTCTGTTTCAGGCTGAGATTGGAATGGTGATGAGCGATGAAAAAGCTCTTTGCCAGTTGTGGGGGGTGCGTGGAGCTTCAGCGACAAAACCATGCATTTGTTGCCAGAATGTTCTGGGGCACATGAAACCAGAGGATGTCGAGGAACATGATTGGCTGATACATTATTCATGCCCTCACAGGCATCGCTTTGCGGAGCAAACTACTGACTTGTTTTGGCAAATGCGGAATCATTTGGCCTCCTTGACAAACAAAAAAAAGACTTGAAACACTATGGCCAGCTTTACGGTGTACATCATCAACCACATGGTGTTCTCTGGACAGGGAATCTCAGAAACACGCTGTGCCCAGTCAAACACACTATGTATGATTGGATGCATGTATTGGTGGCAAGCGGTGGTGTTGCCCAGTATGAAATAAACGAATTTGTGAAAGCCTTGGGCTGTTTGGGGGTACAAATGGGGTCCCTTGATTGCTTTGCAGCGAGTATTGCAGTTCCGAAGTCACGAACAAAGCTTCCAAAGGACTTTTTTCAAACACGTGTGAATGATGAGGATGATACCCATGTGAAGTGCTTCGCAGCTGATGTGTTGGTGGCTCTTCCAATTTTGGTCATGTTTTCAGAGCGTTTTATCGAGCCCGCTGGACAACTTCCAGAGCACTGCACTTGCTTGAAGCTCATGGCAAACATTGTGGGGCTTATGAGTCAATCAGCAAGAGTCCTAGGATACATCGATGAATTGCAGGAATACATCGACAAGCATGGGTTCTTGTTTCAAAAGCTTTATCCAAAATGTGTCAAACCAAAGTTCCACTGGCTCTTTCACTTGCCACAGCAGTTCAAAACATTTGCTGTCAATTTGAGTTGCTTTTCTCCAGAGCGCAAACACCGTGCTGTAAAGGCCATTGCTTCCCATGTGTTCAGCGATCACATTGGCCAGAATGTGGCCATGAGGGTATGCTACGAGGCCATCTCAAACTTCCAAAGCAAAACAATTTGGAAAGGAACTTTCCTAGCTGGAAGAAGAAGGCAGCTAAAGGACGGGGCTACAGTGCTTTCATTTTGGAACAAAGAAGTGGTCAACGTTTGGAACAGCGCTGAGCTGAAGAGTCCAACTGGATCATTTTTTGTGGGCGATGTGGTGTTTGCACCTACAGTGGGCAAAGTGTTCATTCCGCAGGTGTTCATGGAAGTGTTGCTTTTGTCTGGGGAACGCAAGTTTATGGCTCAGGTCGCAACACACAATTTCAAGAATTGCAATTTGTTTGAAGCCTCCTGCACTTCCTCCCTGGTGCTCTGGGAGGATTCATTTAAGGCTGTGATGTCTACTATGGCATCATGTGGGTCGATTCAAATATTTCTGGGATCAATTGATCAAGAAAGCCTGAGGCTAGCCCAGGCATGTTCTTGAAACGGGGTTGACCATGAAAAGAAGCATGCGAGAAAACAAGAGGTCTGCGAAGGGCTGTGCATGCTTTAGATCTATACAGTGCATTGTGGCTGTGTCTTTTCAGTATTATCAAGTGCGAATGTAAATTGAAGTGTCATCAACAATTCTATGTTTGACATTTCAAGCCTCAAGCTTTTGCAGCATTTTGCATACATTTTGACGGCTCGCCTCAAAACTATGGCTGACCACGCTGACAAGGCTGCTTCGATGCCTGCGACACCGGTGTCGCTTTTGTCCGAGAGCGTGGATGAACATCAAGACTCTGGTCGCTGTTGTACATGCCAGAAACCTATCCATGAGGGCAATTCTTTGGTGGTTGTCAGGAAGCACTGCAAATCTGCAGACATCAGGCGATGCCGATGCTGCCACAATCTTCGGGCTGCAGTATCCCGCTTACAGGGAAAACATGGAGACTTGGTAAATGACTTCACCAAAGTCACGGGCGATAAGGTGCAGGAATTTTACGCAGAGCATGGGGATCTTCGGGGAACAGCTTTGCGAGCAAAGCTGGAAGAAATTGTATCAGACTGGAAAACCAGTCAGACAAGGGTCGAGTTCAACCAGGATGGGGAGTATATGGATGAGACTGATCTTGCGAAAAAATATGAGGGC